CTTTTCATATGCTCGTATTTCTTAAAATTCGCATGTAATATTGACACACGCGTTTAAAATATGATTCGTACGCATAGGGTAGCTGATATCTGTGACTATATACAATAATATTCGAATTATAGATTTGTCCGGTCTGTGCACAACGCCATCATTTTCCTCCGTGTGAACTGAGAATTCTAAATAGTTCATAGTCACGATACACACACATATATTTATATTATAATATTATGTATCCTATATAATACCTAACCTAACCTAACATACCTACATTATATATATATATGGGTATGTACTATTTATATTAYATTTAATTGCTTCCTTTGTATATGCGTTACGGTTCTTCATATAGAGTTAAGTATATGTATATTGTGTTATGTGAGTGCATGCGTGCCGATAGATAAAATGCGATTATTTAGCTATAAATTTTCTAACAGTTTTCGTACCTATAACATAATATAATCATTAGAGGACGCCACACGGACATTTGTTGTCACCATCTTCCAAACAAACAACATGATGGCAAATTTTACGTTTCCAATAATATATTTTACTCTGGTATTTTGAAAATTATATTAAATTTAGGGGGTGTAGTGGCCGGGTGGATTAAAGCGTCGGTTGCGACACGCATCGTCGCMGGTTCGAATCTCGATCATGGGTGGCATTGCTTTCCAGGTGCAGTTCATGCTGTCTGGAAAGAGAGGCCGCCGCCCCTCACCCGGACATGGCAGCAACCTACGGGTGCCCATTCGAAATTCTGCCAAAAACATCAACGAGTACCAAAAACCAACAGTTCCCTTGTTGTCGAAGCTTCAACCCCCAATAAAAAAAAAATTAAATTTACTGCTTGTAAAATTTAAAGACAATAATATTATACAGGACGTCTCGAAGGGTTTTATTGATATGTTTTTGTTTATAGAAGGGAATATCTTGTAAAATTTAAAGACAATAATATTATACAGGACGTCTCGAAGGGTTTTATTGATATGTTTTTGTTTATAGAAGGGAATATCTTGTAAAATTTAAAGACAATAATATTATCAGCTAGCTCACTAAGGAATCTTGAAGGATTTTATTGATATTATTACTTTTTAATTAAGTTATGATCGTTTTATAAAAGTACCAAAAAAAAAAACAACATAAAAAATGCTCATATAACTTACTTGAAAATAAAAATATCAATAAAATCATATCCGATGAGATACCCTAGATAAATAAAATTCTTGTTTTTAAATTCTACAAGATCTAAATTCACTCTAATTTTAGAAATTAAGAGTAAAACGTATTAATGTAAAATATGTACCTACAATTTTCCTTGTTGTACGTTTGTTAGACGAACYCGTATGGCGTCCTCTCAATGATGTGATGTTTATCCGGTAGCAGCACATAATGTGAGTCTTGTTCGATTTTCCTGTTTCGTGTTGTGTAAAAGTAAAAACCGTTTTGTACAACAAACAGCGTAGGTACACGAAAAGTTTATAATGTYGATTAGGTAAATAAAAAATAGAGCTTACCCATTGCATAATAACATTATTATTGTGTTTTCCGTTGCATTGTCTTGACGGCTGGTTCGTGTCTGGTACTCATTATTTGTCTTTTAAATCGCGAGTAAAGTTAATTGCTTTTTTTCTACACATCTATACACCTATAATACGACGTACCTACATAAATAAATTAATATCGCGTATATTAATGATTTGCCTGAACAATACAGCCAACGCATTTTTCTGTTCCAAGAAAAGACCACACCACGAGCCCGCGAGGGTTTTATTTTTTATAAAAGAGTGCATAGTATTATTGCCGYGTCGATTTGCTGCGAGATAAATAATATTCACTGAGATTAAAATATATTGATTATTTTAATTTATTGCACTTTTGAGTGGTATCCACACGGCTAAACGACAAATGGTCAAATCTAAGATAACATTTTTTTTTTAAATTCTATTTTCTATTAATATTTTAAAGCGTAATATTAACAATATTACAAATACAATTTTATTTGTATTATAGTTAAAGCTACCAGCTGTATATCAAAATATAACAAATTAACAACACACAACTTTAATAATAATGTGACCTTACCGAGTGTAAAATGGTTTCAAGAACGTTTATGGCTATACGCTAAACATATTATATCTTGTACTTTGGCTGGATTTTGATTTTGATTTTCTTTCATGAGTATATACCTACTCAGCAGAAAAACAATGCGAAACGTTTTGTACATATTATAATGTGTGATATACCAATACGATGTGTTTTTTGTTCGTTTAAACAATAGTATAATTTCTATTGATTGTTCGGTTGAATGGAATTTTCAAAAAATAATGTAGGTACATTATGTTTGTTGTCACAAATCCACATATTCATTCATCCGTATCTTCTCAAACAGTGTTATTTCTCATTTATAGAAACACTAAATGTATGGTAGCAACAGACTATTATACGCACAGCTGGGCTATATAGAGAAATTGCCTTAGTTAGTATTTTACTGATTATCTGTATAATTATTGTCGCCGTAAAAATGTTAATAGTACCGATTCATAATAATTTATTCTAAGAAAATAAATACTTTACATTCATTGTATGTATGGGATGATCATRAAAAAATTAATTCAATTTTTAAGTGATCGATTCGTATATGGAAAAATCCAGAATGATAATACTAAAATTAAAATATATAAAAACCCTATCAGTTATGTATAATTATTGTATAATTAATAAGCATTTAGCAACCAGACGAATAGCGTTTATCACTATTTATKACTATTATCAGCCTTCTCTCGACGAAGTACCTACCATCTTATTTTAAATTATATTAAAGCTTACAATATTTWTATTTTTTTCAAATATTCGTCTATGAATATTAGTAAGACGTATAGAACACATAGTGGCGTAGTCATGATGACTTTGTTACTTATTAGTCCATATAGTCTGTTAATTTGTATAGGTGCCGCGAACACGATTTTGAGGTTATAATGTGTTCAGTTGTTTTGCGTGGTTGTAAAATGTGAATAAAGTAATATCTGCAAGAACGAAAAAAAGTAAAACCAGATTATGAGTTGGTTAAAATGTTATCGTTTTTTTTTTTTTTTTTTTTTTTTTGACGTCAGTTATGTCTGCAATTAGTGATATAAATCGACATTACTTAATTTGGTTATTATTATTTATATTAGTGTGTATAAAAGAACTAGTTATATAGTCACTAATATATATTGTAGAGTTAATGTATTTTATACACTGAAACACGATTTACCAAATTGCTTTGATTTAAACCAGTAATTGATATACATAATATACGTCACCCATAATATACGCATATACCAGTTATCAGATAGGTACCTATAATAAAATAGCTCGACATCTGGTACATGTTTAAAATTCAAGGGCTTAATAAAAATGTATGATCTCTGCGTAACATATAATGTATGCGTTATTAAAATAGCTCAACAGTCAACACGAAACTTGTACCAAACAAATCGTCAACTCATCTCATGATGTGTTCGATATAATAGAAGGTTCCTATTCAAACGACAACGTTCTGCTGCTCCGATTCATTTCGATATTTTTACGGTCATGTAAATACGGCATGATATGGCACATATTGTTTTGTATTTAATATATTATTGTGGCTGCAGTTAGTATCGACTATATCATCATCGTTCCATACGTGTAGTAGAACACATTTTTACTTTTTAAACAGAATMGGGTGTAAGTGGATCCGATACCGTGATTTTCTGTGTTTTTCTAACACATTCAATTTKTTCTTCGCCAAACGTTGCCGATGGATATAGTATAGAAGCGATAAAGATTTTAAAAACAGATTTCGATTCGTCGACAAGTCTGCGTGAAATCGACTTTCCCACATTTTTGATTTCAACTTATTCAAAAACTTAAAAATGACAATTTTTTAATAACAATTTCTTGACATAACGTTTTTAGGACCTTTGTGAGACGATATCGAAAACGTTGACATCTCAATAATATATAGTCTTGACGACAATTAATTCAAATCTGTTTTTAGAATTCTTATCGCTATATAGATCAATTTGTATACGTTTGGCAAAGAACGCGTCTGAAATCCTATTGCACGCGTGCATTAAACAAAGACAGACGATAACAGTTTCGAATCCCCATACAGTGACAGTATAGGTGCCAATATTTTCCTCCGCTGCGAAATCGTCACGTTGAGCAGGAGGGTGATAAAAATAACACCTGTGGGATGTTTATTATTTTGACGCCATTCCTTCCTATATAACGGCACGGAAGAATGCGTCCGGTCAGAGCTTTGCGGAATTCGTAAAAACTTTTCAAATCAACACTAATCGTTTTACCTGACACTATGTGTAAGCGAAAAGTATCCGATCAATAAACGCCGAATCGATTTCGACATGATGAGATTCTCGAACCGTTGCCTATATACGTATACGTATAACGCATTGTACTGGTATATAACACAATGATGGTATATAACACAATACTGGTATACAATATAATATGTTGTGCGCAGTCAGAAGACTTCCAATGTTCGCGCATTGTTTGCGAGTTTTTTGACCTCGCGCCACGATTTTCTCTCGTCCACTGGTGGTGGTCGGCTGCAATCTTCTGCTGCAGTGGCCGTCAACTGCAATAAGTCGTTTTTCTCTCGAAAAATCGAGGAGGAAACCCTCGACTACAGGTCGCGGTAACCCTCGTGTACGGTCGTCCGCCGTCGTAAGTTATATCATATTATATGACTTAACGTCATCGCATTATTATCAAGTCCAGACAATCGATTCCGCGGAATTACACTACACCGGAGGAGCGTCTCGCCAACGCATCGGTGGCGGTGAGATGGAAATAATAATAATAATAATAATAATAAACCCGGGCACGACCTTGCGCCGCGCGCGCGCGCGCGCTCCGAGTAGGAATGTTGCGTTGTCGTCGCCGTCGTCTTCGCCGCCGCCGAGCGGAGGTGGGGCGGCGGACGACGATCGCGGACGCGTTGCGGCGATCGCCGATCAGTCCGGTTACCGCGCGGCGTCTGTTACCGTCGTCGTTCGCCACCGCTGTCACAATAGTCTACCGTCGTCGTTTTCGCCGCATTCTCCGTGTCGTCATGTCGTGGTCGTCGACGCCGTCGTTCGACGGTCGAGCGTCGCCGAGATAAGCACTCCTCATATCGTTTGTGCCGGACAGGACGGYGATGCTGTCGCGCGATTCGTTCCGCGTGGACCGCAACCGGCGCGACGGGCCGCCGATCGCCGAACGCGCGGTGGCCCTTCTGTCGGTGCGCGTGTACGACAGGCCTGACATGGACGTGCCCAACTATTACCCGGGCAGGCCGTGCTCGTCGGCTGGYCGTCTCGCCGCGTCCTGTTCGTCCGCGTCCGCGTCGTCGGCAACCGGGCCGAGGCGAAACGCGGCCCACGTGCACAGGAGGGCGTGCGCCCGACGGGGTGCCATGCGAAGGGCGTACTCTACGCCACCGTCCAAAGTACGTATACTATCGAATCGCATAAACAATAATATTTTCCGTAGGTGTTGGAATATTGTGTGCTCGACATAAAGTAGTGTCGTCGTCTCCTAAAACATAATTATTTCTCCACCTCCCCTCCTATTTACTCACACGAATTTGATTTTTATACAGAAATRTTTGTTTTAATCTGCACTATAGAATAATTCGGATAATACATTATAGTTATCTCATCTAACAGGTCCTTTCACTCACYTCAAAAGAGTTAATGTAGTTGTTACGTTTCAGCACGTGCCACAATAATGACAAGTTCGAAGTCCTCCAAAACTATCGTACTCTTCGTCTTACCCTCCCCCCCCTCACTCCATTTATGCACACCATTTTGAACAATGTACAACAATTTCGGACTGAATATTGAGAGGTGTCCGACTGGTTATTGTTTCACATATGCATCTAATCAGATATATCAGTATAGTTGATAATATGCGTTTTTCTTTGCGAGAAAAATGAATTTTAATTTGAAATAAATCCTCGGCTTGATCGATTTTCAAGTGCACTTTCGTGCAAGTACGTCRCTATAGTGAGTGGGTCAATATATCTGCAGGTGAGGGTGATTATAGTCATTAAAAAATATATATTCTATAAGATTTGTCGTGTCCTATATAAGCACCCCGTGCTCCGCAGTGTCGTACATATTGTTAATCGTTCACTGCAGCAGGTCACTTTTGGATATCGACAGTGCATAATAATATTATATTAAACCTATAAGTGAATCGGCGCCTATAATAATATGTTCAGTGGTGCGGTTGACCGGGATCGACGTATACCGCGGATACCACCCTGCACCGCGGTGACCGCGTTTACGTGCAGGGCCGATCACCTACACAGCRAGTCGCGTGCATACAAACCGCAATACCTAATTATATTATATATTTGGTCGTGATTCGACACCGCGAAAGTCGAACGATAATAACATTATTATACATCGTTTATTTATTCGGTCACTCGCCGCAGTTATATCCGCGAGCGTGGGATGACTTTAGGTGGATTTATCTGCTCGGCGCACTTGATTTAAGGCGGCGGCGGCGGTGGCTAACCTACGTTAATAATATTATTCGCGAATGTGATATTTGATTTTTCTTTTTACCTGTAGCTACGAATAATAATTATACTAATATTATTAGACACGTCATCCCTTCCTACGCTGAAATTCCTTAGCCCCCGGATCGGTTTTTTTTTTTTTTTGCTTTGCATATAATAAACTGCATGCACGTACAACACCCGCGAACGCCCGTTATGGTATAACCACTGTTGAACATCGCTCGGTATACCGCGGTATGCAGCAAAGCAGCAAATCCACGGCGAATGCTGCGTAGTATACAAAATGGAATACAATGATCAAATAATAATATTAAATTGTCGACTAACCCTTCACCTCGTTTTCTTCAAACAGTCGTATGAAAAAAAAAATATAATACCTCTAATAGACGCGCCGCGACGTGTACCGTGAACAATAATAATATCATCATCATCATCATCAGCTCGTATAGGTATATTATAATAACAAGACACTTTTTATCCGGTGACGACAAATGTGTAAACAAGCTCGGATATTATTCGTTTCGCGAACCGCACGGTGCGAATGACTATATATACGCGGCGTGTAGTTTCTATTTTTCGCGTTTATTGTCTAATATAATAATAAAATAAATAATAATTTCACCGGCCTTATACAATAATAACCGTGATACGCCGGGCGTTTATTATACCCGTAATAATGTGTACRATATATATTATTATGTATTATATTATCATTATGCTATGCGATATTGATACGAACGTGTAACGACGCTACATCGGATATGTGAAATTGTTTTATAGCCAGAACCTTATGGTGCCAACAAAAATTGACACAATATTTTATATAATAATGATAATATGTGTGTATAATCCTCGCGTAGTCGTCCACRCGATTAAAACGTAATTAACGACGACCGGCGCGGCGGCCTAGTTCTACTTTATTAGAACGTTTTATTATTATTACTATTATATCCGAAAAGGGAAACCTATTTTCGAAACGATTTCGGAACTGAGTACATACCTAATAATACCTACCTCAGTAGCTGGTACCCTTGGATATGCGTATACGTACTGCAGTGCTGTTTATGGGTAGGCACTAATCCTTTTATTCGGTATACGTATAATGTACGGCCATATGTGTTTGTGTAACAATAATAATAATAATAATTAATAGTTTTACCTACCCGTTGACCCTATAACGGACCGATTCTTCCATATCGGAAAATCGCATGTCAACGACGATAATGACGTCGTCGTCCTTCTATCGCGTCCGAATGCAGCCGTCGACCGGTGTTCGATTTTTCTTCTTCTGTTTTTCGACTCCAATAAATCGACTAGCCCACATGTCGCTATATTTCGGTAGATTTGACTGTACCGTATTGTAATGATATAAYAATTATCTTGTCGATCTTATTGTAATGTGACCGATGTTAGAGGGGTGTGGTATCTTTACACTGAGTATTTCGCCTATAAAACTTAACGCATGCATTAAAGGTTAGGTTATAGTTAAGGTATTGTATTTTRAGTTTCGGAAAAAAATGAATAATCGTTTAAACGTTTTCCATAGATTTTGGGCGATTTTTTAAAATGTTGATTAATCGAGGGCGATGTAAGCATTAAAAATATAGTATTCATATAATATTCGTACAAAAAAATCGTGTTATTGAGTTGCACGAAAATTTAAAAAACTATCGAAACTCTATGATATTCGTGTTTGATTTTCTGTTTTAGTTTATTACCCACTAATTATATCGCTGGTAATATTCAAAGTGATAGGCAATATAGTGGTAGTGGTCACCTGTTTTTGATTCACCATCAACTATATCAAGGTAATAAAGATTGCAGTGAATAAACTCGATAAAATAATAATATTCTTATAGTATATCTCTTTTTTTTATAATCTCGAGTCTTCACGTTTCCAATAATTATGAGTCTGTCATGTCGTTCTAGTTACCTTCCTATATACTTATATATCTATTACACATACATATTCATGTACAAAAAAAAAAAAATGTTCACAAAGTAATCAAAAGTACTGCCTTTTTGAGTTCCGAATACCACTCCGTATTATGCGCACTTAACGTACCTATTACTGAAAGTACCCAAATACAATATTATTATGGACGTTATAAATAATAATTGTTCAATAATTTATCGATGAATCTTTATTAATGTTAGTGTTAGCCAATAACCTTAACAAGTTGTTGGGGCTTAAATAAATAAAATAAAAATTAATTGTTTAAYATTATAAACRAAGTGATGCAAACAGCAAAGCCCTAAAGCTGCAGCGAATAGTGTATMGAAATGTCATGAAAACAATAAAATGATTTTTTTTTTTTAATATTCTTATAAAATCTTAACCCAATCATACTTAATGATAGTACCTATCTTAAATTTCGTAGGGCGATCATGTCACGGTTATTGTCTAAAATGCCGGAGTCATATTATGTGCAGATTATTTCTATATTGCTAGTCCATGTACTTTGAGAATTTTATGAATTTTTTTGTTTGGGATGGGAGGGGTGAATTTTATAAAATTCCTACTTTTCCCATAACATACACACATACATATGATAAATATGATATAATATAATATACAGAAATGAAAACATCGATTGCGGTCGCACATCAGCCTTCGGATCGCCATTCGAAAAATAAAAACAAACTGTTTCACAAACACTTGAATATTCCGTATACGGCGAATACGAGCGGGCGTTTGTCGACGCCCTTTTGGGTTACCAAACGTCCTTGTCCCGACCTGTGGTAGCGGTTGTGGCGGCGGCGACGCTCCGAGGTGTCACGAACCCGTCGCCGCGGCCGTTCGACCAGGCGCGCGCGACGCCTATAATATTATGTCTATCCTCCGCGCACGCCGACCACGCGTAGCAATTTATAATATTGGTAGAGCTATCGGAGTTTGAGAGAAAGAAAAAAATTYATTTATATTATAATTTATACAATAAAATAGGTAGGCATATATATAATATTATGTATGTATTATAGGCTTTCATATACTAATATAATATTAATAATAATAATATTGTAGCAAAAAAAAAAAAACGATAAGGCGGCAACGACGGTTGTCGACACATTTGTGTATGTATATGTAACAACACGATTTGTTATTACTCAGACCAGCGGTTCACAAACTTTTTTATCCAAATAGTTAATCCTTAAGTTGCTAAAAAACCAACCAAGGAGCTCAAAAAGCAAGAAATGTCGAGTTAAAAAAAAAATAATAATAATAAATCATGAAACCCATAATTATACTATGGCTCCATAGAAAACATGTCTTGAGAATCGCTGAAATAGACAGTATTTTGTACGTTTATGTATATTTATATTCGATACTTTTTTAAAGCGTGTTATTATTATACGTTTTTTACTTCATTAAATTCGATCATAATATCACAAACATTCTATGTATCCGCTAGATTAGTAAAACAATTTTTTTTCATAGTGGTTGATTTTTTTTTTGCCCACGCTGCTCTCAATTATAATTTATATATATATTATATTATATTATATTGTCATTATTAATTATGGCGTTAGTGATATGATAAACTGTACGATATTTGCCCATCATTCTCAAATTTATATTAAATCGCGAAAWCTTACGATCTCACACTCCCCGCTTTTTCTAGTCGTTTCACAAAGTGACAAATAATACAATKTTCATATAATATTATTTTACCCATTTCATTATTATATTATTTCTTTTTCCTCGCGGTGTCATGGTTTGAAATCATAATAATAGCCGTCCAACACGTGAATATTGCACACACACACACATATTTATATATATATACACATATTTACTCTGCTATATACATATATAATATCATATACTATATACATACATATGTCTGGGCACAATGGTCGTCTATCCTGCACCACCGCCGTTGTCGTTGTCGTCGTCTGTTGTCAAACTCCTACTCTAT